CTGAGGATACGATTTCAATAGACTTTCGAAAAGTTCTTTTTCATTTTCAAGTTCATGAAGAACATTTTGAAGATGTTCAAGCAAAACGACTGAAGAATTTGTCGGACCGCGTTCGCTGATCGTCAGACTTTCTACTTTGTCCATTAGAATTGATCCAACATTTTCCGCCACATTCAGGTCTGGAGAACTGTCTGGCCATTCTGTTCGGTCAAAGAAATCGATTCCAGAGTTTTTGAGCAATTGCTGAGTGGCATTTGCTTTGTGACACGGAGCGTTGTCATGAAGATAAACGACTGCTGCTGGATCTAATACATTTTCGGAGTTCGAAAGGAATGGAATTACTTCTTCTGTCAAAATACGGTGTCGATAATAAGTTCCATCCCATGATGCACCGTTATCTTTGATAACCCACATTAATTAAGAAAAAAAATAGTGCATACTTATACGTCTAAAATTTGGATTGACTCTCTGCATCTATTGAATTGTTAACTATAGTCCTAGATCCAGTTTTTTACGGGCTTTTAATTGGTATAAAATTCATTAGGTACCTACTTTAAAATCCCGTCGTTACCCCCCTGGAAAAAGGTTATGCAACACCCTGTACACTGAACGATATTATATCCAGAAAAGTTTCATTATTGTTGAATGAAGAGTTAACATTGTTAGTAAACGAATTTGTATAACAAGTACGAAAGAATTCGGAAAACATCTCCGCCTTATCAAAATCTGTGCATGCATGCGATGTATTACTATCCAATTGACTAGGATACTCAGAAAAAGATTTCCTAAATTTGTTTAAGCTAGACTAAAACTGTTTTGGATTAGAAAACTGTGATTTAATTTTTGTAAAATGTCGATGTTTATCTTTACGTACTGCATTCAAAACTTTATTTCGCAGTTTTTTGTACTCAATATTTTTTAATAAACTTTGTTGACGTTTCAATTTACGAAATTTTGAATTCCTTTCTCTGATTAATTTTTTGGTCTCCTTTGACGGTTTAAAAATTGGCTTGGTTTTTAATGAAATTCATTCAAAAGTACGTAGGCTTCTATGCATTTTGAGAAATGATGTAGCAGTGTTTCGGTAATTTTGTTTACGTTATTTGAAAGGTAGAATGAGTTATCGATTTCTGACAATAATTTACGTAAAGAAGTTAGATCACAGTTATCATAATCATAAATGTACCTATCTGTATTTATTTCAGATTCTGCATTAATGTGAAACTGTGCTTGTAGTAAAAAATGTGATGATTTTCCTATCTTTGGTAGAACTTTAGTACTAGGCTTGTCCCAGTCTTTATAATAAAATATATTGTCTATTTTGGTATTTTTATGAGTAGTAGAGACATCAAATGAACGTACTAAAGAAATCTAATATTTGTTTAAGACCAGTTGAACACAGAGTAGTATTACCATTCAAATCGCCAGCTAAAACTAAAGGAACATCTTTTTTGACATTCTGAAGTAAGAAATTTAAGAGATGGTCATAATAGATTTTCTTAGACTGAGGACGACGATAAAGATTCCATAATAAAAAAGAGCATGCAACAGTTTTTATTTCTATTAGTATAGTCATAACATTTCTTGAACATGCAATTAACGAGTGTTGAATAGAGTTTTTAACGTAAATAACAACACCTTGAGAATTTCGCGAAAAATCAATTCGATAGTGTGAAAAACCCGGTATATTGATTTCGTTATCAGAAACTGAAATATCAGTAAAACTCTCTTGAATGCAAACAATGGAAGGATTTTTCTTTAAAACAAAAACGTTTTAACTCATCGATGTACTTTGGAAGACTCTGAATGTTATGAGAAACGATGTTAAGATAATTATTTGGCTCATGTGAGGAAGTACTACTAAGGGGAAGATAGCTACTTGATGAAGACGAAGCTAGTAAGCGTGAATTTTGGCGTCATAAATACAAAAAATCAGAAAAAGTTTGGTGAAAGAAAACATATTGCATTTACATTAACTGATAACCTAATGAGTTTGGATGAAGTTTATCATACAACATACCTTTTTCAAAGGTGACACGTAAAAATTCAACCTTCTGACTGTAACATAATAATTTCAACTGCTTGTTATATTCTGCGATTTTACCAAAAGTGCCTTCATTCAATGGTCGAGATCGAAAAGGAATTGTTACCATACATATATTCATATTTGGATTAATCAATTTTGTAGTTTTAATTATACTTTCTGCTTCTTCAATGCATTTACTGGCACTCAAATTACTAATTGAATTTGTGCCACAAACAAAAATTCCAGTATCTGAAGATTGAACCATACTTTTATATTTATTTTTTAATTTTTCATTTAAATCACTTAGTTTTTGACCATGATGTGTTCTAACTCTAACAATATGCTTTCTTTCACTCAAAAATCTAGAATCTAAATCCTTTAACAGACTACCCAAGCAGACAAACTTTTTCGAAAACGCGTTTAAGCACACAAAAAAAGACAAAAATTCTAGAAAAAATGGGAGTGTTTGGATG